GTTTGAATACTCCTGCTGTATAGTAATACCAGTGCAATAGTATTTTTATTTTAACCCCTCCTACCCATCCCCAGTACTCTCCAAAAAACCTTGGAAAGCTATTAAGGCAATTAATTGTTCAGCTTGAATCTACCATTAAGAGTCCTTCCTTGGGAGAGATAGGTGGTCTAGAAAATAAGTAAGTAAGTAAGTAAGTAAGTAAGTAAGTAAGTAAGTAAGTAAGTAAGTAAGTAAGTAAGTAAGTAAGTATTCCAGTACTGGTGAATATTATTATAAATCAGAATGGTTGAGCTTTTAGAATTAGGGAAGTTTTAATAGAAGCTAAGTTCTAGCTCCTGTTGAGGAAAAGTTTGTTGATGTGTATCTGAAGGAACAAAAAAGAAGCACTTTTTAAATAACAACTTACAACAATTGGGACCAGAATTTATGTTGCTAAGTGAAGCAGTTGTTGTGTGGATCATGTCCAATTTTATTACCTTTTCTTCCATAATTGTTATTAAGCGAATCTCTGTGGTTGTTAGGTGAATTATGCAGTTGTTAAGGGAATCTGGCTTCCCCTATTGACTTTGCTTGTCAGAACCCAGCTTGTTAGAAGGTTGTAAATGGTAACCACATGACCCAATCCATTGCGACTGTTTTAAATACATGCCAGTTGCCAACATGCAAATTTTGATCATGCAACCATGGGGATGCTGTGATGGTTGTAAGTGTGAGAACCAGTCATTAGTCATTTTTTTCAGTGCTGTCGTAACTTCAAACAGTTGCTAAATGAATGGCTATAAATTGAGGACTACCAATGGAAGCAGAGAAAGTTGAGTTTCTGACTCAGGTTTTCTCGTGCTGAAAATCTTATTTAGTGAAACAGCTGTTTTCTTGCAAGTGAATATTGCATGGTGTACTGTTTACTTTCTTATTTATTTCTAAACAAAAATACGCATCATTATTGCAAAAATGTCTCCAAAGGAAGAAAAATATGGTTGGCACCACTAAGCTAATATTGGAAAATGGGAATAATGGATGGGGAAAATGTTCTTGTCACAGAGATTAGCTGTTGTTTTACAGAATGTAGGTTTATTAATTTTTATTTTCCCATAGTTGAGTTCTGCAATCATCCGGGTTTACATGAAAAAAAAAATCCGATGAGTTTAAATAGTGAATATCAAGTAAGAATTTTGTACTCCAGTATTATACTGCAAATGATATCCACTTGTGGTTAGGATCCTATGGCCCTCCACATATTGCTAAGCTGCAATTTCCAGCATCGCTCCCCAGACCAAATTCAGCAACATCTGAAGAGCCACAGCTTCCCCGTCTGTACACTGGAAGTTGAAACACTGACAGCTTTGAAGACATTAGAGGCTACACCTAAATAGAAAAGTTTTAAATATTGGAGGCCACTGGCCACAATAGGCAAGTTACTGGTAGTGGCTTCACCAAATATCCTAGACCTAGAGGCTTGATTTCCAGTTTGCTTTCCCATTATGGGAACAAAGAGTGGCAGTAGATCTGGAATACACTATGACCCATACACCATTATATTAGCTTCCCCACCACCACTATAAAGCATACAGTAGTAGAAAATTGCATCGCTGACATTTCTTGGAGTGTTCTGCCAAAATACAGCCATGTGATTTTTGAAGGTTCAGAGAGACACAAAAGAGGCATATGGGAACAAATGCGATCTCTGAAGAATTTACCTTACTTTGTATGATAAAGCAGGTTTGGCTGCAAATGGGAGACTACAGTGAAACCAAAAGATATGAGATCTTGAGAACATTCAACAAGACTGTGAGGTACTTTGGGTTTCATCTCCAAAAAGAACAACGGAGAAGGCAGGAGGAGAAGGTAGCTGTGCTTTTGGGGGAAAGCATGGAAACTGGAGCTATGTTTGTACTCCTGTGTGCTCTGTAGCACTTTTGGGAGGTTGAACCCAGAGCTCTGTGCAATTCTTAGTGTTCAGTGTTGCAAGGTGGCTAGCACTGATAAAGGTTTATCTTGTATTCCCCACCTATCAAAACAGCAAAAAAGTATCCCGTTTCATTAATATTTTACATGACACTATCTATTATAAAATCTTCCCCTCTTTAGCTAGCAGCATAATAGTAAATAATGTAGGGAGATAGGCAGGAAATTGAACACATTTATTTAATAAGTTCATTATTAAACCCTGGCAAATTGTCAGCAATATAATCAGTTTAAATACATTAAACATGTTGCATGTTCCTTTGCCATGTAAATTGAGTCCTTTAAAAATAATGGTATTGATTTTGTAATGTTGATGGGCAGTACTTTGGTTTTCTGTCTTAGGAACCAAAATACATTAGATTACTTATGAACATCAGTCTGTGAAGATGCCACATATTGCTAAAGACAAATATTGCTTTGTCAGACTTGATGACAAAATGGTTATTGCTAGTGACTGCTTTTACCTCTTATATTCAAGATGTTCCCATCTGAATAATTGCCACTAATTCCCAATGTACCACTGGCTGCCTGCAGCATTGCAGCATGGTGCTCTAAATGGACAAAAATCACATTAATGGCTTTTTATATCAATTAGAAATCCTTTTCTTCATGAGACTTGGTCCTTAGGACCTTTAGATCTTCAAAGTTATCTCTTATTTCCTTACACTGAGACCCAGTCTGAAAAAGGGTTGTGTTGTAGGGATATAAACATCTTAATGTGTACAAAAATTTTGCACAGACATCACACTAGCTTTGTCTCTTTTTAATTTTTTTATTTTTCACCATACACCATACACCAAAACTACATAAACATAAATCTTTTCTTCTAACAGAACAGTGCTTTACATTTTAAATGTTCTTTACATCTTATTTACATTTTATATACATCAATAATTATATCTTTTTCTTTCTCTGTTCTAGCCAATTATAACATTTATTCCAAATTTCATAAAATTCTG